GGCTGCTGTTAACTCTGGCAAAGTGGAGGTTGTTGCCATCAACGACCCCTTCATTCACCTCAACTACATGGTCTACATGCTCCAGTATGATTTCACCCAGTATGATTTCATGGCAAGTTCAATGGCACTGTCAAGGCTGAGATCGGAAAGCTTATCATCAATGGGAAGCCCATCTCTATCTTCTAGGAGCGAGATCCTGCCAACATCAAGTGGGTGATGCTGGTGCTGAATATGTTGTAGAGCCCACCGGTGTCTTCACAACCTTGGAGAAGGCTGGGGCTCACTTGAAGGGTGGTGCCAAAAGGGTAATCATCTCTGCCCCTTCTGCTGATGCCCCATGTTTATGATGGGCATAAATCACGAGAAGTATGACAACTCCCTCAAGATTGTTAGCAATGCCTCCGGCACCACCAACTATTTGGCCCCCCTGGCCAAGGTCATCCTTGGCATCGTGGAGGGACTCCTGACCACAGTTCGTGCCATCACTGCCACCCAGAAGACTGTGGATGGCCCCTCGGGGAAACTGGCATGATGGCCGTGGGGCTGCCCAGAACATCATCCCTGCATCCACTGGTGCTGCCAAGGCTGTGGGCAAGGTCATCCTGGAACTGAATGGGAAACTCATTGGCACGGCCTTCCATGTCCCCACTCCCAATGTGTCTTTTCATGGACCTGACCTGCCACCTGAAGAAAGCTGCCAAATATGATGACATCAAGAAGGTAGTGAAGCAGGCATCAGATGGACCCCTAAAAGGCATCCTGGGTTACATGAAGACCAGGCCGTCTCCTGTGACTTTAACAGTGACACCCACTCTTCCACCTTTGATGCTGTGGTTGGCATTGACTCAACGACCACCTTTGTCAAGCTCATTTCCTGGTATGACAATGAATTCGGCTACAGCAACAGGGTGGTGGATCTTATGGTCCACATGTCCTCCAAAGAATAACAGCCCCCTGGACCACCAGCACCAGCAACAGCACTAAAGGAAGAGAGAGGCCCTCAGCTTCTGAGAGTCCTTATCCCAACTCTACCCCCTACACACTGAGCAGCTCCCATCCTCATAGTTTCCATCCAGACCTCCTGGAGAAGGGGAGGGGCTTTGTGAACCTAGTCTTGTCACGTACCATCAATAAAGTACACTATCCAGCCAAAAAAAACCAAAAAACCTCCTTAAGAGATAGGTGCTATGAGCAGATCTGTTCCACAGGTGGTGAGAAGAGGTTTGGACAAGTGGGATGATTTGCTGGAGCTTGTTGGTGAGTGGCTGCAATAGGATTAGAGTCCAGACCACTGGATTATAAAGGGCATGTCTCTGACCAGGATGCCACTATGAGACTCCCCTTTTGTGTGCTCATTTTGACTGACTTGTCCAATCAGAAGAGTCTTCTTACACCTCCCGGGAACTTCCTCTCTAATGATCCTCAAAACCCACAGAATCACACTTACCTCCAGCACTGGATTGGAGAGCAGTAATCTGTCACGGGCTATCTGCAGAGATTCAGTCATTGGGCAGGTCACTGCAAAATACTGGAGAATCTTCTTAGAGGCCTCTGTTTTCCCTGCTCCACTTTCCCCAGAGATGAGGATAAAGTGGTTATTTAACTCCGAGCACATCATGCGGTAAGCGTTGTCGGCTATGGCATAGCTGCAAAAAGGAGTGGGGCAAAAAGAAGTTGGTCTGAAGGGCTACTTTCCTCGGCTCTGATGCCCAGCAGAGCAGAAGGACAAAGTGCCCAGCTTCCAGGAAGCTACATCTAGACAGTGAGCTCAGAGAGGTCTCGGTTCTCACAATGATCCTGTCACTGAACAAAGTGCATGAGCCTTCCAAACTCAAATAATACAGACACAAAAGGACAAGTGTTACTGTATGATCCCACACATAGGAGATATCTAGAATAGGAAAATGCACAGAGGCAAAAGTTAATGAGTGGACCGAAAGAGCTAGATGGGACCCGGCTACCGAGTGCCCCGAAAGGGATCATACTAGAGGATCCCAGATAGAGTGGCAGCAAATGTGAAACAATTCAAAGTTATTTAATAATTTTTTTTTTAGAAGACCGGGTTTACTGGTCAGAAGGAGACTGGAGGAACCTTCAATAACCCTTCAGATCTGGAAAGGAACTCACCCTCATTGCCTAGTTTTCAGCCAAGTATTAGATGGGCTTATAGGAGGGGGACAAGGACACTAACAAGGTATGCTTATTATGGACTGGTCAATCATCACAAAACCACAAGGGCAACATATGCCTAAGGACAAAGCTGAGAAGGGATAGGAAGGTGGGTGGCAATGCCAATAGGAACCACAGGGAGGAAGCAGGGTAACCATTGCTGAAGAAGGTACTGAATGCTGATCATGTCTGTAAACCTTCACTCAAGTCACAATAAAAAGTTTTTAAAAAGTTAATGAATGGAGGAAAAATGAGAGAGTTATGGCTCAAGAAAGAACGTTGGTGGTGCAATGGTTAAGTGCTTAGCTACCAACTGAAAAGTCGACTGTTCAAATGCACCAAGCAACTCGGTCAGACAAAGAAGAGGCGGTCTGCTCCCATAAAGATTAGAACCGAGACTACTCAGTAGGGGCAGTTCTAATCAGTCACATGGGGTCGCTATGAGCCCAAATGAACTGGATGCCATCTAACAACATAACAGCAACACAGCTTTAGAGGTAGTGAGTTCTGTTTGGGGTGATGGAAAACTTGAAAATGGAAAAGTGCTGAAGGTGAATGTAATGTAATTTAATGTCACTGAATTGCATGGATAGAACATTTGACAATAGATAGTAATCATGGTTATACAATATGGTTAATATAACTGGTATCACTGACCTTTACATGTAAAAAAGTTACATTTACAATAAAAAAGAAAAGGCAAATGTTTTGTTTATGTTTTTGGCTGCCATAATTCTTCTTAAAATCTCAAATAGTAGAAGCAGTCAAGTGAAGTATTTGAGCTGTCATGGAAATATTTTTCTAAATTAATCAACTTAAAAAAAAAATCAACTTACAAAAATAAACCAGATACTAGGCGACATCTCCAAGACATTCTATTCATTGCAACTGGAAATGACACCTAAGTATTAAGTCATTGAGTACAGTAAGATATCATTTTCTCTTTCCATCAAAATTTACAGTACTAAGACTATAGAGGAGTCCTGGTGTGGTGCTGTAGGAGAAGCACTAAACTGCTAACTACAACATCGGCAGTTCAAATCCACCAGCCACTCCTCGGAAATCCTATACCAAGTTGCAATGTGGTAAAATTTGAAAGCAGGTTATTTTTGAAATCACTGGTGGTAATAATACAGGAAGGTTTATAACTGCTGTGGAAGTGAAACAGTTGAGTCACCAAGGAAAATGAGGAGAGAATATAAATATTAGAAGTCAACTAAGGAGAACTGGAAAATTCAGCAAAGCCTGAGTCACTTACACACTCAGCAGGAAATTAGTCATCTGAAGGATCTGTATCCTAGGACAACGGTTTCTCCCAATGGACAAACTCCTCAGTGGCCATGATAGGCGGCCACCAGTAGATGGCGCTGTTAACACCCCACTGCCAAGAGACTATTCCTAACTACTTTCTTAGGTCTCCCAGCAGTTAGGCAAAATTTCACCTCTCATCACCATTTTAACATTGAGATTAGACAGTCGACTGCTCAAGTTACCTGCTGCTTTGAAAAAGAGACTTTACATGACCGACCGCAGCAGTTTAAGGGAGGTAAAGACATCAGTGCAGAAGCAACAAGGATTTGGGAGGGAGGGAAGGAGAAAGTGGGAGAGTGAATAAATGGATGGGAAGGAGAGGTGAGGAGAAAAGAAAAGAGAAAGGAAGGAAAGAACTAGAAAAATAGGAGGGGCTTCAAAATTAGAATTAAAAGATAAGAAAAATTTCCATGAACTTTTTGAAGCCCCCCTCATATTTCTGTTAATGACTTTTAGTTAGCTAATGGAATCCTAATATGTCGCTGTTCATTAATGCGCTGGACTGCAACGTTGGTTTGAGCTGCAAGGCTCAAGCGCACCAGCCGCTCTTTGGAAACCCTACACAGGGTTGCTATGGGTTAGAACTGACTCGATGGTACTGAACAACAACAATTAGCTAGCATTACTACATATAATAAAAATACCAGTTAGGTGGTTTTAACAAATAGAAATTTATTTTCTATTTCTATTTTTATTTTTTTTGACAGTTTAGGTAATGTAATGGTGACGAGTTGGGCTGCGAACCTCAAGGTCAGCAGTTCGATACTACCTGAGGTTCCATGGGAGAAATGTGAGGCTTTCTGCTCCCGTAAAGATTTACAGCCTCGGGAACCCTATACAAGGGTGCTGTGGATTGAAACCGACTCAATGGCACTTAACAACAACAAGGCTGAATTCAGGGTACTGGCTCTAAGAGAAGGCTCTCTCTCAGTGTCAACTCTGGAGACAGGTCCTTGTCTCTTGAGTTTCTAAGAGGTTAACTCACAGAATACCTTACACTAATCCTGCGTCATTAACGTAACAAAGACAACCCATTCCTAAATAGAATTTTAACCACTGGCATAAAACCCAAACCCAAAGCCATTGCCATTGACTCATAGGAATCCTTCAGAACACAGCAGCCCTGCCCCATGGCGTTTCCAAGGCTGTAATTTATACAGACGCACACAATCACCATCTTTGCCTTATGGAGCAGCTGGTGGGTTTGAACTGGAAAATTTTTGGTTAGCAGCCAAGCATTTAACCACTATGGCACCTAGGTGAATTTTGTAGGGGGGGACCCAACCCAATTAATTAACACTGACCATATGGATGCTACTTACATATGTGGTGGCAGTTCAAAGAAGTTGACCCCTTGATACAGTTCCATCTGTTTCATGGTGTAGATTCCAAGCTCCTGGTATGGATTCACAGACACAAGGAGGGTCCCAATATATGTCTGGAGGAAGGAACCAAAACTATAATCAGGAATCCCACTATGCAAATGACTCCAGCAAAATGGCTACTTTAAGTACCATGTAAACAAACACTTATTAAGTGCCATCAAGTCGGTTCTGACCCATAGCGACCCTGTACAGGGTTTCTGAGGCTATAAATCTTTACAGGAGCAGAAAGCCTCATCTTTCTCCCACGGAACTGCTGGTAGTTTTGAACTGCTGACCGTGAGGTTAGCAGCCCAACTCGTAACCACTATGCTACCAGAGCCCCTTGTATGTAACCACTTAGTGCTGATATGAAAGATGGAGCAATTGCTGTCATGGCGTTTGCATGCAGTGAGAGACAAATAAGGGAGGGATCAATATTAAGTACAATCAGAGGCACTTAATAAAGGTGTTAATAAAAGTGTAGATAGGGCAATGGAGAGAGTAAATGACTTAGGCTTAGGAAATCTTTTAAGAAGGAACCTTCTGAGATTTAAAGGTGCTTGGTTGGTTGGTTATGTGCCTTGGATTTGGTTCTGACCCACAGGGACCCTGTACAAGGTTTCCAAGGCTGTAAATCTTTATGGGAGCAGAAAGTCTCATCTTTCTCCTGTGGAACAGCTGGTAGTTTCGAACTGCTGATCTTGTAGTTCGCAGCCCGATTTGTAACCAGGAGGTAGCTGGGAATAAAGGCAGGCAGAAAGGACTTTTCAAGCTGAAGGGACAAGAGCGGTTGAATTGGTGATGCTGTAGAATAAGATCATTGTTTCAAAATCCACCAACCACTCCTTGGAAATCCTACTCAGGTTGCTCTGACTCAGAACCAACCGAATGGCACTTAGCAACAACAACAACATAGCTGCAGCCCAGTGAGGGAAGGAGAAAAAGGAAAGAGATGAAGTTGGTGAAGGAGTGGGGTTCTGATAATGCAAGAAGTGGGGTTTTAATCAAAATGCTACCGATAGTGAAGCAGAGATGCTCCTTCCCCCTCTGAAATGAAATTTATCTTCCCGTCAACGATTATATGTGAACAAAATAAACATCTATGGAAAATATGACTTGCAATGTATGGTTATAAAGAAGGCAGTAAGTAAAATATTATAATTTGTTTCACAGGGGCGTCTGAGCACAAGGTGAAAGCAAGGGGAGCATCTTAGGAGGTTTCAAAAAGTTTGTGGGAAAATGGAATTAGAAGATGAGGTTTTTCCATGAATTTTTGAAGTTGCTTTATATAAAAGAGTTGGCAAATTTTGCTACCACTGGCATCAATTTATTAAAGAGTTCAATGTTAGGTTGTTATTAATATTCAGAAATTGTTCAATTACTACTAGTATGGAATCCTGGTGTGGCATTGAGGACTAATGTGCTGAACTGCAAGATCGGTTTGAACCACAAAGTTGGTGGTTCAAACTCATCAGTCGCTCCTTGAAAATGCTATAATAGGGTCACTATGGGTCAGAAACAACTCAGTGGAACTTAATATAGAACAGCATTTGTAATATAGTCACTAGTGTAAGGCTTTTTCAAATGTACTTAATGGATTAATGAAGCTCCAAGCTCTTGTATACAAACCAAAACCAAATTTACAAGTTGATTCTGACTCAATGACTCTATAAATCCTTGTTGTTGTTGTTGTCAAGTGCCATCGAGTCGGAACCGACTCATAACGACCCCATGCACAGCAGAACGAAACAATGTCCGATCCTGGGCCAACTTCACTACTGCTGCCACACTTGAGTCCATCAATGATGTCACCTGGCCGATCCATCTCGTTAGGGGTCTTCCTCTTTTTCTCTGACCCTCCACCTTACCCAGCATGACATCCTTCTCCAACGACTGTTTCCTCTGGACAATATGTCCAAAGTATGAGAGATGAAGTTTAGCCATCCTGGCCTCCAACGAGCACTCTGGTTGCACTTTTTCCAAAACAGATCTATTGGTTCTTTTGGCAGTCGATGGCACTTTCAGTATTCTCCTCCAACACCACAACTCAAAGGCATCAATTCTTCTATGATCTTCCTTATTCACTGTCCAGCTTTCGCATCCATATGAGGCTATTGAAAACACCATGGCCTGGGTCAGGCACACCTTAGTCTTCAAGCTGACATCTCTGCTCTTCAGTACTTTAAAAAGTTCCTGTGCAGCAGATTTGTCCAATCCTTACAGGAGCAGAAAAGAAAGCCTTTCTCCAGAATGAGCAGTTGGTGGGTTTGAACTACTGACCTTGTGTTTAGCAGTCCAGTTCTTATCTTACAGTGCCAACTCTTATAGGTTGTTGTTGTTGTTAAAGTGCCATTGAGTCAGTTCCAACTCATAGTGAACCCTGTATAGTTTCCAAGAGTAACTGGTGAGTTTGAACCGCCAAACTTGCAGTTCAAACTGACATTTCAGTCCAGTGCTTATCCTATACATAAATAGTTAGATTGCTTCTAGTCTAAATACAACTGTCTCTGAGTGGCACAAACTATTAAGGCACCTTAGAAGACAGCCTTGGTGATCAGTTTCTGCAAGAACACAGCTTTAAAACTCTATAGAGCAGTTCTACTCAGCACACATGGGATCATCATGAGTTGCAATTGACTCATTGGCAATCGCCACCAACAAATACATTTGGCATTTTCAGATTCTGAGTTTCTTGTCATCATTTTTCATTTTTAGAGTCTCAAATACTGGAGGTACTGAAGCCTACACTCAAATTTGCAAACACATTCTAAGTGCTGTTTCTAATCCACTAGACAAAGTCAAACAGAAGGAGACTAGAGCAGTATTTTGACTAAAACAAGACTCAGGGGGCACAATGATTACATTCTCAGTGGTTAAATGAAAGGTTGTCAGTTTAGCTTAGTAACAGAGCTCCACAACAAAAAAGACCTGGTGACCAGCTCCTAAAACATTTTAGCTTATAAAACACTACGGGTCAGTTCCACTTTGTCCTACAGGGTGCTATGAGTTGAAACAGACTGAGTTGAAATTGTTGTAGCACACAACATTTTGACTAAAATTCTGCATTACTTTAACCAATAAACACCTATTTTTCCAGGGTGGAATATGTTATCTTGTTTTTGTTGGGCCCGTTCGAGTCGCCTGTGACTCATAGTGACTCTTGGCACAATAGAATGGAACACTGGTCCTGCTCCATCCTCACAATTGTTCTGTTTGAGCCCATTGTTGCTGCCACTGTGTCAGCCCATTTTGTTGAGGGTCTTCCTCTTTTCCTCTGACCCTCTACTTTAACAAGCATGATGTTCTTTCCCTCCTGGTAACATGTTGAAAGTATGCAAGATGAAGTCCCACCATCCTTGTTTTTAAGGTCCCTCAGGTTGGAAGGCATTCAAAATGCAATTGGGGAAGAGCTGCCTCCTCAAAGTAGAGTTGACCTGATAACATGAATGGAGTAAAGCCCGTGGGAGTAACCTGCGGGACCTTCATTTGCTGATGGGGCACAATCCAAAATGAAGAGAAACAGCTGTAAACATCCGTTAATAATTGGAACATGGGATGTATGAAGTATGACTCTAGGAAATTTGGAAATTGTCAAAAATGAAATGGAACACATCAACATTGATACTTTAGGCATTAGTGAACTGAAATCAACTGGGGTTGTCCATTTTGAATCTGGCAA